TACAGTGGATTTCAGTTATTTGTGGAGAAATGTTGGAAACTTTTTTTTCTCCTAATTAAATTAGCTCTATATAGTGTATTTATATAGAAACTATGCGGATATCGGTTAGTGGAGGAAATATGCTTGATTGATTATAGTCTAGAGCGCCTCTATATAGTGTACGTAGTACAAAATCGCCATATTGTGTAGTTTCGTTCGATATAGTGGAGGGGTAATTATTAATCAGATTATAGCGAAGAAAGTTTTTCTTCTTTTTTACGGAGTAACAGACAGTTGATATGCATCTCTCACAGTCTAGAGATAGCCAAGAAACATTCAAAAAGCGTGTTGCCTTGAAGTATGTAATTGATAAAAAATAATAAAGCAAGAGCGTTTATTACTTGTTATAAAGAACTAAGATAACTATGATAATGCGAGAGTTTCTATTATTTTAGACAATGTGTAAGATTGTTTGTAATAATAAAAGATAATAATGCGAAATTATTTTTTTAGAAAAAGGGAATTATGTGAAAGAAAAAGAAACTTTCCCTCAATAAAAGGCCGAGAACTATCAGAATTAGTGAGCAAGCTGTCTCCAAAATTCTCAAAAGGTCTTCATATTGGCTAAGCCTTGAACCAGAATCAACTGCCGCCTGATTCAAACGTGATCGAAAAAGCACCTTTCCCGAAATTGAAGAAGCGATGATAATTTGGGTTGATCAAGCCATTACTCAAGGGCTTACACTACAAGGGCATATGGTTCAAGAAAAAGCGAAATGGTTCGCTGGAAGGCTTGGTGTCAAAAACTTTAATGCTTCTGATGGATGGCTTGCAAAGTTTAAAAAACAAAATAGACTTAGCTCATATAAACGAAGGGGAGAATCGGCAAGTGCGCCAATTGAAGTAATTCCACAATTTCAGGCAGAATTGCAAGAGGTTCTTCGTGAGTATTCTCCAGAAAATATCTTCAACTGTGATGAAACGGCACTTTTTTGGAAACTCGAGCCAAGTCGAACTCTCGCCCATGGACCTGTAGCTGGAAAGAAAATGTGTTAGTATTATGGTAACATGCAGTTCAACGGGAGAAAAATTGCCTTTACTATTTATTCACAAATTCAAAACTCCGGTTGCTCTTCGAGGAATCGATAAAAATACCCTGCCAGTATGGTATTACTTCAATAACAGGGCTTGGATGCAAAGATCCGTCTTTGCTCATTATCTCAACCGACTTAATAGCATAATGCGCAGAGCTGATCGGCATATTCTCCTTTTAACGGATAATGCCAAATGTCATGAAACGGAAAACCGTGAAACCCTTTCTAATGTTCGAGTTTATTTCCTTCCTCCTAATACAACATCATATTTACAGCCAATCGACCAAGGAATTATTTACAGCTTGAAGGTATTATTATTATAATTAGTGTCATCGTCACTTTGCATATTTTTTTCTGTTCAAAATAATCCCTGGTGTATATTTATAACAATTGTATTCCACTTATTACCAGATGCATTATCGACGAATCTTATGTCAAAATCGACTTGCCAAGCTTATGAACTTATTTCACCCGAATTTCCTACTCCAAGTTCACTTACCATTCGAGATGCGATTGAATTTTCCGCCGCCGCCTGGGATTCGGTAACACAAACTACGATCAAAAATAGTTGGCATCGTACAGGTATACTTCCTCCTATGGCTTGGGATAATGATCTAGTAGCAGTTGATCCGCTTTCTGACGATGACCGAATGCCACATATTTCTGATTCCCTGACTGCGGAAGAGTATATTCTGGTTGATAATCAAATTGTGAGTGAGGAGCCAATGACGGATGAGGAAATTGTCAGGTTCGTAAACAGTCAAGATACTGAAGAGCTAGAGAATAATGAAGAGTCTGAAGAGTCTGAATCCTTGATAAAAGTAAAGGATGCTTTGGAAGGATTAGCGAATGTGGTAAAATATTTACAACACAATAATCGCGGGAAAGTCGATTTTGTAACTATGAAAACGTTAAATAGTTTAAAGCATCAAATTCTTCGAAATAATATTGAAAACAAGCGCCAGTCTAGTATCATCCAATACTTGCAGTAAATATT